TTTGAGTTGGAGTCTCACTGTCACCCAGACCGGGGTGCAGTGGCACGCTCCCGGCCACCGCAACCTTGACCTGCTTGGCTCTGGCAATCCTTCCACCTCAGCAGCTGGAACTACAGCATGCACTACCTACCACGCCTGGCTAATTTTTGATTTATTTTAGAGTAGAGCCGAGGTCTTGCCAAGTTGCCCAGGTGGGTCTCGAACCCGCGGGTTCAAGCAATCCACTCGCCTCGGCCTCCCAAAGTGCTGGGGTTACAAGCTGAGCCACCGAGCCCCAGCCCATGGTTCATTTTTGTGTGGGGCGTGCAGGGGGAGTAGAGGGAGTCAATGGGGGTAAGGGTTCTATAGTATAATTGTTAAAAGCAGGGCTTTTAGCATATTTGCTATAAGACTTCAGGCACATTACCTCTTGGAGCCTGATGAATAAAAATACAACACCTGCATCACATTCAAAATGATGCACATCAATCCTGAACATCAGGGTTGGCACATAGCTACCATTTTGTGAACATAGTCTATCAAATATTATGTGATAGAAATGCCTTGAATGCTAAGGTAAAGAATTTAGATATTCTCTGGGTAATGGAGATCAAACAGAGTTTTGAGCAATAGAGCACTGATCAGAGTTGCCTGGAAGGGACTGGATCCTCAGTCAACATCTAAAGTCACTGCGGTGGTTGCAACCCCACTTACTTCTCACTCCCATCCAAACCTCCCTACCCTCAATCCACAAGCATTTCAAGACCATGTTTCTAAAAACCAGCCATTTATATCTGTTTAGGTAAGTAACAGAAGGAGTGAAGTTGTGTATGTACAAGTTGGTTTGTCCAGATATACTATAACTTAGTGTCTGTATTTAATATTGACAACCAAAAAATATATATAAATATCTTCCATCTATACACAGCAGGGCAGGAGTGTCCGTGTCTTCTTGAGCAGTGAGTTCTTAGCCTCCAGTGGGCCCTCCTCTCATGGTGATGGTCTGGCTCTCAGTGCAAAGGAGACTAGAACCTGGCAGCCCAGTCTGGCCCTTCCCCTCTCCTCCCTGCACTCCAGTGCTCCCAACTGGTCTCAGGCAAGGAAAGATTAATTTGAGTGGTTGGGTAGGAAGAGATGGAATGGGCGAATCCTAATGGAGCCTGACCCCTAGGGCAGGGAGATCCAGGCCCACAGAAAAGTAGCCTCCGCCATCTCCTGGGAGAGAAGCCTCAGAGTTCGGAGTTCGATTAGTGTGTCCTTGGGTCATAGGTCCAGCCCTACAGATTAGCTTGGCAAAGAAGGCAAGTGTCTGGATAGGGCTTAGTCCCCATCCTCAGGCACTGAGCCATTCAGGGTGAAACCTGGGATGTGAGTACAGGAGACTCAGGCTGATATAAAAATAATAACAAAATCAGTAATAAAAAAATTATAAAACCTGTTGCTTGTCTGAATAGATTTGAGCAACAGTCCTGCTTTCCTTAAAATCCTGGCGCCATTAAGTCCTGAATATTCTTCTGGACATCATTGCTGGCTGAAGAGAGGAGCCCCAGGCCCAGCTCAACTGAGATCTGTGAGTTTGGAAGTCTCATCCAGCTGCCTGTGCCCCCGAGGGATCCTTCGGGCTGCTGGGAGCAGGCTGGGCTGGTGGTGGGGGGCGCCTCACACTTGAGAATCAGCCCCCAGGGGATGAAACAGCTCCTCAGGTGTCTTGTCACTTTGGCTGGCTCCCCCCTGCCGGAAGCCAGAAGCAATCTCATCGAAGGTCCGGCCTTTAGTCTCAGGAACTTTGAAATAGGTGAAGATGAAGAACAGAATCAGGAGCACAGTGAAGATGATGAAGACGTAGGGACCACACAGTTGCTGAAAGACACACAGACACACTTGGTTGGATTTATGACCCTACCTCCTGGCTGTAGGACTTTGGATAAATCACTTTATCTCTGGGCCTTTCATCTGAAAAAGGGAACATTCACCTACTACCCAGAGATGCTATGATAATTAAAAGAGACTGTGCTTGCACCTGGCATGTGCAAGTACCTTTCAATCTAGGAGCACTGTTTAATCTAGGAGCACCGTTCAAATCTAAGGAGAAAACCTTGGTGTAGAGGTCAGCATTCTTAGCCATGTAAACTGGGCTTCCTAGCCTCACTTTCCTTCTAAGTATGATTCCTAACGAGAATCCTGGAAGAACACTTTGCACAGCACTATGGCGTCGTGCATGCAGGTGAGAAATGCTGAAGATACAGTGGGAGTTCTCACCTCCACATACTGGAAACACATGCCCACAATGAAATTTGAGGTCCAGTTGGAGAAACCAGCAACAGCAATGGCAGCTGGACGAGGACCCTGGCTGAAAAGTTCAGCTACAATGAACCATGGGATAGGGCCAGGACCCACTTCAAAGAAGGCCACAAAGCCAAAGATGGCCACGATGCTCAGATAGGACATCCAGGGCAGCTGCTCCTGTTGAGGATGACAGAAAGGGGGGAAAGTTAGACTGGTTGTGATGGATCCTCAGAAGATATGGAAGCTGCAGAGGCAGCCCAGAGCAAGGCTAAGCACTGCAGGCTGGAAGGCAGGAAGCCTGGGGCAGATCCTGTGTTGGCCATGTGCCCTAGATATACCCTGGTTGAGTCAATTTCCTCATCAGAACAAACGATTTGAAGACTGCAGGGCGGTCACAAGCTTGAGGCCACCATCTGGGAGTGGTGATGTGCATGAGAGAGGAGCTAAGGGGCCCCTGTGGTGCCCTGGCTCTGGCTGCAGAGCAATTTGTCTGTGGCAGGAGGATGTCGAAGAACATTCCTGGGGGGTGGGGTGGGTTCATGATGTAAGGCTTGTAAGGTGCCCAGCTCAGGCAGGCACAAAGTAGGCACTAGGCACGTGGCTTTGTAATCATTCTCCCTGAAAAGGCCAGAGTAGAAAAGTTACAGAGTTTGATTTAGATCTCAGATCTGCTGCTCATTGCTCGCATTGCCTGACCTCTCTCGGCAATCACCAGACTTTCCCAGCCTAGGTTCAGCTGTAAAATGAAGGAAATGGCGCTTTCCTTGCCCAGAGGTTGGATAAATGAGTGTTTGTATGTGAGTGCTTAGCACAGGGTCATCATAGTGGTCACAGTCAGAGTCACGGGCTTGGGACCAGAAGACCTGAGGCTGATTCCAGGCTTCATCTGACATGTTACTAAACTCAATGGGACTTAGGTTTCCTTGCCTACAAAATGGGAATGATAACAGAACTACACCTCCAAGCCGTGAAACTAAGTGAGACAAAGTTTGTTTCTGCACCTCATTTTCCAGGGTTGTTGCGAAGATGCATCCAGGCTGTCAATGAAGACTTTTAGAGGTTTAATAACGGGCAAGGGAATTGCCTGGGGAAATGCAAGTTTGGGGGTCTGGGACCAGAGGTGGTATGTTGAGAAACCACCAAGAAGGGAGGGGCAAGTTCAAGGCAGGATGTCAGTGGTTTGGAAGGAGGCGACCTCAGGAGCCAGAAGTTGGGCCCAAGCCCAGCAGGGCAGAACCAGGGAGAATGCAGCCCCCCCCCTGGCTTGCGAGGCTGCGCTGAGACAGGCACTTTGGGACTGAAGACCAGGTGAATCCTCCCTGCCCCCACCCTGCCCTCCAGAGCCTGGCAACTCACCAGCAGCGCCAGTGCGATGGTCATAAGCACAGCACAGCCCGCCATGCCAGCCAGGCCTATGAGGTGCAGGGTCCGTCGGCCAGCTCGCTCTACCACAAACAGCTATGGGCAGAGAGAGTGTCAGTGCCATCCCTGCCCAGTGCCCCTCTGAGCCCACCCACCCACCCAAAGGCTCGCCCCAACAACCAGGAAAGCCACATAGCACTGTAAAGACCAGTATGAAAAAACAGTACCACCTCCTCCCTGGGACATGGCTTGGAGAGCTGGGAAGCTAGCCTCAGAGCCTGACACCAGTACAGGGAGTGAGAGGTGGCCCTAGAGAGCCAGACAACTGAGCATCCTGGTTGTGACCTTGGGCAAGTCATCTGCCATTTCACTTTCCTGAGCATCAGTGTCAGCCGTGCTTGTGAGAAATGAACCTCACGAGTTATTGAGAATGAAATGAAGTGGCACTTATGGAGCACATGACACATGCCTGGCTCCCAAGTAAATGCTGCCATTCTGTTGTTGCTCCTCCTCATTCCCTGAGCTGGACCCTGCTGCCGACGACAGCAAGCGAAGACTCACCGACACGACTGTGAAGGCCGTGTTGACAATGCCGGAGCCGATGGTGGCATACACAGGCTGCTGCACTCCTGCCTTCTCGAAGATGCTCGTGGAGTAATAGAAGACCTGCCAGACAGAGAAATGGTTGGGGCTCGGCCAGGCGCTGTGGCCCTTCCCTGCCTCTGTAACAGTGAATGGGGCCCAGGGTGAGTAAAGAATGAAGGGGACAGTTCTCAGGTAGAGGGACACTGCACTGCAGTAATCTTAAGGGCTTGGGGTCTAGGGAAGCCTCTCCTTTGGCGGAGGCCTATTTGTTGTTTTAAGCTCGGGATCTGTTCACAGTGCACGCTTGACCACAGGGCTCAGCTGGGGCCACAGGAAAGGGCGGGTGGGT